ATACTTTGTCGGATGAACAGCAGCATTGAGACCTGGACAACTGATACCAAGACTACACACATCCCTCGGAGAGAGGGAACTCGTTATTACAGAAAAAATTTCATCAGGCAAAGCCAAAATCAAGCTTGATCCACAAAGATCAGACGACATAATAGACTACTATAACCGAAATCCTTTTTTTTCTTTTCTTTATTGAATAGGTAAAGAGATTCAATCTTACACACGAATTGCTATTCCTATACCTCGATCCAATGAATTATTGCACTGCACACGAAAAATGACATTATTCATTTTAAGAACCCATTCTTTATTCAAAATCAAGAATCAGAAACAAAATAGAAAATCAAATGTAACCTGATTTGGAAGCAATTAGGCATGCATCAGATTCTCACATTAAACAATTGACAAGAATTCAAGCTGCTAGTTATCACAAGATTTAAAATGTTAACACAAGTACATGAAGCAGAAACTGATGAGAGCCTTGGATGGGAGAAAGTAATATAGGGGATTGACTTGATTATTAAAAATTGACTTGGTTATTTTAACCTAATTAAACCTAGTAGTGTCACCCTATGAAGCAACAGACTTGATCAAGCTTTTGTTTACACATTGTCGAAAGTCAACTGTTGATTGCGATGATTTGCTTACAGATTACAGGTTCAACATAATTATCAGAAATGTACTTTTTTTTAAGCAAATCAAACTTCAATATGGCAATAAACACACAAATTAACTTCGATTCTTACCACCGGATAAGCTAATCGTGGATGAAAGTGTGGTCTCCGCAGCGGATTACATGACAGTCGATTAACCCTAGTTCCACCGCCGCCGCCGCCGCCGCCGACGATGAACAAATGGTGGAATTGACGGCCAGGAAATGATTCGTTTTGCTAGAACCATTCTCTGAAAGGGCTTGTGGATTCGTTTGCCGATTTGTTGCTGCGATGGAAAGCGCGCCAATTCTCCTTGATTTGTATTTCGAAAGGGTTTATTTGTAATGGGGATTTGTGATTGAAGCGGGTGACAGAATTCTGTGTGTATGGTTTTACAAAGTCGGCGACTATATGCAATCCAAAAATTACTTAGGAGAAGACCAAATTTAATTTTTCATCAAATAAATTACTAAAAGATTATTCTATCCTTAATAAAATACAAAATCCACAATTATAAAATTCTACAACTTTCTTTGTGCAAGATCACACAAGCAAAACCCATTTCGTCTTCCTCACAAATCCATTTCACAAATTCTTCAAAAAAAAAATTCTTCATCTTCTCCAAAAATCCTCAACACCCAAAACCATCAAATCTTACTAAAACATGCAAATGATAACATTATGGAGTCACGAGACATCAATATGGAGAATTCTATAGAAAAACAAACTATGAATGAATGTATTTTTATAGTTAGGTGATCGGTTTTTAAGTTTTCAAAAAGAAAATTTGCATAGTCAAAATTCGACATTGACATGTCGAATTTTGTCACAAAATTCGACATTTAGATGTTGATTTTTTAGCAAAAAATCGACATCAACTCTAGATGTCGAATTTTGTGATTTTTCGCTAAAAAATTAACATCTAGATTTTTGTCAAAAAATCAACATGTACAGGTCGAATTTTCTTCTTCTTCTTCTTCTTCTTCTTCTTCTTCTTCTTCTTCTTCTTCTTCTTCTTCTTCTTCTTCTTCTTCTTCTTCTTCTTCTTCTTCCTCTTTCCTCCTTCCTCCATATTCTTCTTCTCTTCCTTTTCAAGCACCCGCGGTTGGGCGGCGGCAATTCTTCGGCGGCGGATGGGCGGCGAAAATTCCTCGGCAGCGGATGGGCAGCGACAATTCTTCTCGTCTTGTGTTCTTCTCTTCTTCCCCTCCAACATCCCTCTCTATCGTTTTTCAATTTCTCCTTTATTTTTTTATTTATTTTTTCCCTTTTTTTTTCTTTTTGGTCTTGCAATAGTAATTATGTCTTATTTGAATGGATAGTATCAAAATCAATATTGGGGTTATATTTGTAATTTTCAGTCTTGCTCTTAGTAAGTTTATTTATATTTTGGTCTTGCATCAAGTAAGGTCTTGCACTTAATAATTTTAGTTTTGCATATATTCGTTGCCAAAAGAAATAGAAAATCTTTTAGAATGACCGAAAAAAATCCCACACTTTTTGATAGAAAGAAATAGAAAAAGAAAATCTTTTAGAATGAACGATAGAAAGAAAAAGAAACACTTAAGAAAAAGAAATTCTTTTAGAATGAACGATAGAAAGAAACAGAAAAAAGGAAATCTTTTAGAATGAACGAAAAAAATCCGATGATATAATTCTGTCTCGTATTGCTAATCGATTAACTTCTTCATTCTTCGACTAACTTCTTCATTCTTCGACTGGTCGGATGTTCGAAACCGCAATTGCCATAACAACCTTATTTGAATGGGATATATATATATATATATATATATATATATATATATATATATATATATATAGTAAAATAAAATTACGAAACAATCTCTAATGTTTTGATAATTGCAAACATACCTCTCAACTATAGATTTTCTTATATATTCATCAAATTTAGTAGAATCTTTTAAATTGTATACAATAAATTATGCCCATTCAAATCAAATATATATATATATATATATATATATATATATATATATATATATATATATATATATATATATATATAAAAATAAAATTACGAAACAATCCCTAAAGTTTTGATAATTGCAAACATCCCTCTCAACTATAGATTTTCTTATATATTCATCAAATTTAGTAGAAACTTTTACATTGTATACAATAAAATGAAATGCTATTTGCGGTCACAAAATTGTTATTCGCGGTTTATAACAAAACCCCCCAAAACGTTTAAAAATATCCAAAACCCCCCCAAAACTGCAAATAGCAAAAAAAAAAAAAAAAAATTCGAAAATTCGAAATCAAGCTTGAAGAAGGTTGGGCTTCGATTTTTTGATGTAATTTCGACTCTTTTATGTGTAATATGCATTGGGTAGGTCGATTACGGAACCAATTTCATGTTAAAAAGCCCTACAAATCGATTTGTAGGGCTTTTTTTTCGCAAAAAAATGGTCGAACGCCCAAGATGGGCGTTCGAACATTAAAAAAAAAAACATTTTTGCATTGGACGCCCAACTCGGGCGCCCAAATGCAGCTTGCACGCCCAACTTGGGCGTGCACTGCATGAATGGGAGCCCAAGTTGGGCTTTTACGCGTTTTGGGGGGTGTTTGGATTTTTTTGGAAAATTTTGAGGTTTTAGTGAAATAAAGTGTTTTTTTTGGGGTTTTGTTATAAACTGATAGCAATTTTCAAACCGCAACAAGCAATTCCCACAATAAATTATAGGCAGCGACTATATGCAATACAAAATTTACTAAGGGCAAGACCAAATTAAATTTTATCCCAAATTAAGTGTAAAAAAAACTATAATGACCTTAGTAAAATACAAATAAAATAAAACATAATTACACCAATTACTCTTGCAAGACCAAATTAAAAAAAAAGAAAAGAAAAAAGAAACCCAACACAATTGAAGAACGGGAAGGAGGGAAGAAGAGAACTATTTGCAAATTCGTCGTCGCGCCGTCGCCAATGAAGTCGACCACCACCGCCGTCGCTGTTGCAGTCGACAGTCTATTATTCATAAACGATTCACTATATGTCTATGCAAACCAATTATAAATAAAGCATTAACTAACAAGTTTTGTAAATAGCTACCTAAGGTGATATTTGTATGTCTACGACACCACATGCAATTGACACACTCATCCGGTGAAAACTACTCGAAGGCTCTTCTACCTACCGTCTAATTATCAAAATAGCTATGTCGAGTCAATCCCAATAATCACAAATAAAGCACATAAATTGATCAGGTTCATGCACTAACAATCATAACAAGTAGAAGAAATGATCATAAAATCATACTTGCATAATCTCAAGAAAACGGGTTCACCATCCCTACATAGGGTTCCAACAAAATCCTAGATTAAAAACTTAGCTACTCATGTTCTCTACGAAAAACATAATAAAAATATAAAAAAACATAGATTAAGAAAAGATAGATAAAAGAAGAATTGTGATGAAGATTTGTCAATTCTCCGTCTTCGATTCTCTGTTCTCTCGCTCCTCTTGTTTTAAGATTGTGTTCCAAAGTCCTTTGATTCGTTCTTGGTTTGCCCTTAAATAGACGTCCCAAATTGGTAGAAGAATTTAGGTTTCCTTGTGTGATTAAAAGTCCAAAATTGTCTCCAGCGTGTTTTGGCGCGACCCGAAAATCAGTGTAATTCTCACACGGCCGCACGAGAATCGCCGAAACCTTCTGCCCAAGTTCTGCAGTTGGCGCGGCCGAGCCAAAAATAGGCTAAATTTGGCACTGCCGCGCCGTCCAATTTTCAGCATATTTTTGTTGTCTTCCGTTTTTACCCCTTTTTAACCTTTTTTTGGCTTGTTTCGTCCTTGGAACTCCCAAATCGTCAAGTAGTACCTAAAATACAATAAACCACTCATTAAGCATCATTAAATCAATAAAATTATACAAAAATCATCGTAAGAGAGAATACATTGAGTGTAAACAATACACTCAACAACGATCTAATGGTATTTTCTCGAGGAGATGTGGAATCGGTCCGTATCCTCGCAAAGACGGTTGTTGGGTTTAAATACCTAACACGCAAGTACACGTATCGCAAACAAGTGGTAAAAGTGGACTCGTGAGAGTCGGATGTCGATCCCACATGGAATACTCAAATTACCTAATCCTAAGTACCAAATTCTAACAATTGTGATTTTTATCCAGCCAACGCAAGGTTGTCAAATTTAATCAACTAAATAATTAAACTAATTATGAAAGCAAATAAACACAAGATAATATCAATAAAAACGGACCTAGGATTTTATCTTCCCCTATGCAAGAATTGCTCACCCAAAACCCCTCAATTATGAAATATATGATTCATGATTATTAACCCGAGACACAAATTTTCTCATAACCCGTTGTCGCGTGTATTATGAGTCTATTATTCATAAACGATTCACTATATGTCTATGCAAACCAATTATAAATAAAGCATTAACTAACAAGTTTTGTAAATAGCTACCTAAGGTGATATCTGTATGTCTACGACACCACATGCAATTGACACACTCATCCGGTGAAAACTACTCGAAGGCTCTTCTACCTACCGTCTAATTATCAAAATAGCTATGTCGAGTCAATCCCAATAATCACAAATAAAGCACATAAATTGATCTGCAGGTTCATGCACTAACAATCATAACAAGTAGAAGAAATGATCATAAAATCATACTTGCATAATCTCAAGAAAACGGGTTCACCATCCCCACATAGGGTTCCAACAAAATCCTAGATTAAAAACTTAGCTACTCATGTTCTCTACGAAAAATATAATAAAAATATAAAAAAACATAGATTAAGAAAAGATAGATAAAAGAAGAATTGTGATGAAGATTTGTCAATTCTCCGTCTTCGATTCTCTGTTCTCTCGCTCCTCTTGTTTTAAGATTGTGTTCCAAAGTCCTTTGATTCGTTCTTGGTTTGCCCTTAAATAGACGTCCCAAATTGGTAGAAGAATTTAGGTTTCCTTGTGTGATTAAAAGTCCAAAATTGTCTCCAGCGTGTTTTGGCGCGCCCGCGCGAAAATCAGTGTAATTCTCACACGGCCGCACGAGAATCGCCGAAACTCACTGTCCAAATTCTGCAATCGGCGCGGCCGCGCCAAAAATAGGCTAAAGTTGGCACGGCCGCGCCGCCGTCCAATTTTCAGCATATTTTTGTTTTCTTCTGTTTTTGCCCGTTTTTGAACTTTTTTGGCTCGTTTCGTCCTTGGAACTCCCAAATCGTCAAGTTGTACCTAAAATACAATAAAACACTCATTAAGCATCATTAAATCAATAAAAGTATACAAAAATCATCGTAAGAAAGAATACATTGAGTGTAAACTATACACTCAACAACGGTTTACGAATTTGGGCAGGTTTCGGGGCTGAAGGCAAATCATGCGAAGTCTAATATCTTCTTAGCATGAGTTAAACCGGGGGAGCGATTAGAGATCGAAAACGAGTTTCACGTTGCCAATGGAGAGTTTCCGTTTCGATACCTTGGGATTCCACTCGCTGCATCTAAATTACGAGTGCTCAACCATCAACCACTGCTCGACAAAATCGAGCAAGCCATATGAGCGTGGACTCGCCAAACTCTCTCTTATGTCGGTCGGTTGGAGATTTTGAAAGCCGTGGTTCAAGGTACGTGCTGCTACTGGTTATCCATATTTTCGATCCCACATGCAGTTATCGATCGTATAGAGACAATATGCAAAACGTTTTAATGGGGTGCGGCGGCCCCAAAAGTAACGTGGCCGAGGTTGTGCAAACCAAAGGGAGAAGGGGGTTTGGGCCTTCTTGATTTAACTGATTGGAATCGAAGCTTTCTTGTGAAAAAATTGTGGGATTTTCACTTGAAGAAAGACTCTCTGTGGATACAGTGGGTGAATGAGTTCTATCTCAAGGGACGAACCATATGGGAGTGGTAACCGCCACTTACAGCTTCACCCTTCTTCAAGAGCATCATCCGGATCCGGGACAAACTGGTGGAGAGCGCGGGTACTACTCAGTTACTTATTGCTAAGTTGGAATCTTGTACGGAGCTTGGCAAATTAAATGTGAGCAAAGTATACGACTGGATTAGGGCTAAGGCCCCGATCAAACCGTGGGGTAAACTTCTTTGGGCGTTATCTATGACTCCAAAGCACTCGTTTATCTTATGGATGGCAACCATGGATCGATTAGCCACAATGGACCGAGTGGAGAAACGCTCACGTGAAGTCGTCAACTCCAAATGCGTCTTATGTGGTGTGAAGAACGAGACTAAGAAGCACCTCTTTTTCTCTTTTTCGCATGCAGTATGTCTCGAGAGGTGTGGAGCAACATACGGATATGGTTGGGTATCCGCCGAAGACCAACCACATTGAATGCCGCACTTAAATGGCTCAAGAAGAACGCACGAGGGAATTCGTACCCAAATCCAGAAGCCCTATTCAGAGAAATGGTTCAAGCTAAACGGTATAATCTCCACGGGCACGGCCAATCCACCGCCGCCGATCGATATGTTTCTATCGATTCTGATTTGTCGACTGACGACGATGAAGATTAATTTCTGGCATCCATCGAAGGCCACAGCAACCGTCACACCCGTAGCGAAACGGCGATTTCAGTAGTATGCGGCGGCGGCGGCGGCGGCGTTGGAAACCTCGGGTAAATCGACTGTCATATAATTCACTGCGAACACCAAATTTGCATCCACGATTTGCTCTTTCCTTTTTTCTTTCCTTTTTTCTTTTTTTTTTTTCCGGTGGTAAAAATAGATAACCACCCGTGTGTACATATGCATTTATTCTGTCATAGCATTTTACTGTTTCTCGTTAGGTTTTGCCTCAGATTTATCTTTGTTTATGGTGAATTCAGAATTGTCTCTAAATTCTAAATAATTGAAATAAATTTATCTTTGGATTTTTCACCTTTTTATATCTCTGAAGTCTTCTTGATGAAATTACAGTGTTGTGATGCTGTGAAAATGGTCTTTATGGCGAATTGTCTCTAAGGAATTGAAATATTTTTTGAATTTATTATATTGAAGTTAGTTTGCTTAAAAAAAAAAAAGCACTTGTTGGATAAATTATGTTGAACATGTTAGCAAATCATGGATAACTCTTGATGAAATTAATGTGCCATTTCAAGATTCAAAGGAACCCCTCGTCTCCCCTCTCTCTCTTCTTACTTGTTCACCATGTATCCATAATGATTTGACTTTTGACAGAGTGTAAACAAAAGCTTGACCAATTCTGTTTCTTCATTGAGTGGGTTACACTAAGTTTTAGGTTAAAATAACGAAGTCAATGATGTAGGTATTGGATAATCTAATGCATGCGTAATTGCTTCCAGGTCAGGTTGTATTTATTCTGTGATAATGAGTTCCTGTAAGAACACAAGTTCTTTGTGTTCGTGATACAAGACATGAGTTTGGTTCCTGTAATGCATAAATTGTGAACAATGATTATCAGTTTATTTTTCACCATAAATTGTGAAGTCTTCTTGGTGAGTTTACAGTGTGTATCTGTGCTGGAGATGGATTAGTTCCTTTAGGGATTTGTTAAGGGATTAAAATAATTTGTTAGTTTATTATAAACAAAAGCCTGACCAATTCCTTTCCTTCATTGGATGGATTACTCTGATCCTACTAAGTTTTAGTTTCAAATAACAAAGTCAATCCTTAATAATTAATTCATCCCCTATATTATTATTATTATTACCTTCTCCAATTCATCAGTTTTGCTACAATACGTGTAAAGAATCTTGTGAGAATGAGCAGCTTGATTCCCTGTCAATTGTTTCTACGAGAATCTGATGTATGCCTAATTGCTTCCGGGTCAGGTAATTTTTCGTTTTTTTTATTTTGTCTATCATTCTTGAATATAGAATTGGTTCTTAAACTGAATTATACCCTTTTCGGTATATTTGCAGTCACTGTTTGATTTTGTGATCTTTCGCCGCCCGGCGAAAAACAATTTTACCTCATCAATAAATGGGAAAAACAAGATTTGGGTTGTTCTCACCTAAGTCGAGTATAATGCTGCCTGATATCTGTGGATCAAGCTTGCTTTTGGCTTTGCCTGACGATATATTTTCTGTTATCACGAGTTCCCTCTCTCTGAGGGATGTGTGTAATCTTGGTCTCAGCTGTCCAGGTCTCGACGCTGTTCTGTCCTCGGACAAAGTATGGCTTTCCCAATGTAATAAATTGGGCCTACTCCCTTTTAGTACTCTCATCGAATGGAGAAAGGGAGTTCTTTCTTACAAGGCCCTTTGTCGATTCTTGGTGAATATTCAACCGTTGATTGGTATTTGGGTCCACAAAAATCCCGAGCTCGGGAATGTAGTATATGTTATGCCTGGCTTTCTATCAGTTATTGGATGCCGGATAATTCCCCAAGAGATAGGCCCTTTAGGCCTTGAAGATAGCCCTATTTTGTGGGCACCTGTATTTGAAATTATCTGCAAATACGACTGCTCTAAAGCATTCTTTTTACACGGGAGGGAGCAAGGAGCAGATTATGTTTATCCTGGATTGCTAAAATCATTCGATAGGGATTGTAATGTGCTTTTGCTCGAGGTTGAGCATCGGCTTCAACGGGATGAAGGAAAACTGGCTGATATTAAGAAGTTTGCTGATGAAGCGGAGAAGGAGAAATCTAAGTCACAGAGAATAGTCGGACAGAAATGGACTGAAAATCCTTTTATCCGTTTGGAATCTGATGATCAGAGCAGGCTCCTCGATTTTGTTACTAGCCAAGTCCGTGATTTTGTTCCCGAGGCAGCAAATGTGTTATTGTTTCCTCGCTCGAGAAACGATGAGGTTGATTCGAAACAAGATTTCGCAGCCTTACATGAAAGGAGATTGTTGCTTTTAGAATTGTATGAGCATGGTAACGTGAATCATGATATAAAATCCGATGAAGAATCGCCTTCGAATCCCACCGAATTAGGATCAAGTGATGATGTCAGCGAAAGTCTCGACAGTACGAGTGCCCATCAGGGTCAGTCTAGTAAGGGTAAGAAGACTCTCTCTGCGTTTCTGAAGAATGGTCTCAAAAAGTTACTACGGAAATCGAGCTCAACAAACAGTGATCGAGAATATCAGGAGGCGGCTTCTCCCAGTTACCAGATAACACTTGACGAGTTTCTTGAATCGGGCGATTGGGTTGGATTGAGCGTACAAGCTGCAACCATGCAATTAAGGTGTTATAAAGCGTGGCCTATTATGCAGGAAAGTATATCCGCTCTCTATAAATTGCCTGTTCAGACTCCCGAGGCGTGTGACGAGTATGCCGGTTTATGGGCAGGGAATTCTGGTTGGCCGCCATCTACCGGCAAGCCCGGTGGGCGCCTCTGCTTCATTTTCGTCTCGTATGAAGAATCCGAAGGGCAGCGACAAATGATCGCCAACAAGATATTACAAGGTAGTATGTATCCTAATGGATCAGCTATGTTTGTCGTGAATACGGATCAACCATCCACGGACATATTCCCGTGGGATACTGACGAAGAATCGAATCTTATTGATGTTAAGCAGTCGTTTAAGGGAGAAGGTATTTCAGATGGTTATGGTTTTAGATATCCTGGTTCTAAACCGGGTTCACTTTTTGTTCTTGAAAATGGAATGCTCGTTTTCATATGGAAGGAGTCGAGGGATGTGTTGACCTTGAAGAGGCTCAATTTGGCGGATCTTTTAAAGAGAGGTGAAAGAGTGCCTTCTTTGCCACCAATTTCCAACTTTGCGTATCTGACGAGGGAATACAGAAATGTTTACTCCGGATTTTCAGATTATTAAAATCGCTCTATTTTCTCCGAGGTATGGATTTCTAAAAACCATTGCTTCTTTTTATGGATGTACTATTTTTTTCTCATCGTATCCAAATTCGTTCCTTGTTATATAATAAAATGTTTGTCCCACCCTTTATTCAGTTTCTTCCTTTCTTCCTTATGATCGAGAACTTTGTAAGTAAGTTCACTGCAGTTGTTGATTTTGAATGCAGTAATTCTCTAACGAGTCCCGAAGTGGTCAAAACGAGATTTTTTTAAGCTTTCCATTTTGTTTCGGGCCTTGAAATATCTCGGGAAAAAAATGTATTGAGTTGTAGATAAAGAGGAGACATTTTGCACTATAAATGTTGCAATCAAATCGTGTCCAAAAGTATTAGAAGAATTGTTTGTATATATAGTGGAGACATTTTTCTATTGTACTAGTCAAACCGTGCGCGAACATGAAAATTACGCATTCTCAACACTAAATGCTATCCAAACACTAAATACTCGTTTTCAAAAGCTTCGGGAGAGATTTCCTTTTACCCTTTTTCAATGTGAAGTTATAGCATTGGTAATGACTAACGCGTGTTTATTTCCGACAGGCAAAAATATCTATAAGACTGTATATGCTGGTGTCGATTCCTTTTTCTTGGGTGGTTTGATTCCTTTTTTTCTTCAGTGCTGCCAAATAAACAAGTTTCTCGTTGATGCAAGAGGTTCGCTATACTCTTTCGACTGTACTGCTTTGAATATGGCAATCGAGTTTCGGTAAAATGCAATAGAAAAAGAAACATC